GCTGAGTGGTCGCCCTGCTTCACACCTCGCTGAATGCAGAATTTGTTGCTGTTGGTGTCGTTTCTGACATTGGCTGTCTGGTCGTGGTACAAGCGACGTAAGAGGTTAATGTATGAGTCTGGTATGTGTTGCTGTTGTAGAGCCGTCCACAACGCCTCGTGGTTTACGCAGTCGGAGGCCTTTTTGAAATCGATCGCTGCCGCCCACAGGGGTAACTGCCATGCGTGTGATTCTCGTGTAGCATTGTCGTGGTGAAGAGGTGGTCTTTCAGTGCTGAGACCTCGCCTGAAGCCGGCCTGGTCGATGCTCTGCTGTGAATCACATGTGGCTTCCAAGCGGTTGCAGAAGATGATAGCAATCGAACATTCGAACATTACCTGATATTCGCGTCCCAGAAGCCAGTAGCCATCACAAAGTAGTAGTAGTAGTAGTAGTAGTAGTAGTCGTAGTAGTAGTAGTAGTAGCAGTAGTAGTAGTAGTAGTAGTAGTAGTAGTAGTAGTAGTAGTAGTAGTAAGTAGTAGTAGTAGTAGTAGTAGTAGTAGTAGTAGTAGTAGTAGTAGCGAGTAGTAGTAGTAGTAGTAGTGTAGTAGTCGTAGTAGTAGTAGTAGTAGTAGTAGTAGTAGTAGTAGTAGTAGTAGTAGTAGTAGTAGTAGTAGTAGTAGTAGTAGTAGTAGTAGTAGTAGGGTTGCACCTGGTCTTCGTGTCGCTACAAACCTCACCTTCGTGTACTCTTCTTTTTGTATCAGGCCTAATAGAACTCCTACCAGGGGAATTACGAAAACCGTAGTTTCAAACCTGGCCTTCGTGTCTTTCGCGCCAATGCCTACCTTCGTGCACTATTCGCTGTAGAGGCTGTAGATTGGATTCGTATTAGAAAGTGAACAAAAAAACGACAGTTTTACACCTGTCCTTCGTGTCGACGTCGGATTTGGAGCAACCGCCACTGCCAGCCGCTTCATTTCGGCACAACCCTCTCGAGGATCGTGGGCCTGGCCCTCCGACGCGCGATTCCGGCGCGCACTTCACTAGGATCGTGGCCCTGGTCCAAGTGGGAGCGCTGCCGAAGGCCCACCGACGTCCAATTCCGGCACGCCGCTCACGAGGATCGTGTCCTGGCCCACCTGGGAGCGCTGCCGACGGCCCACAGATGAGCAATATCGGCGCACCCCTCACACGGATCGTAGACCTCGCCACATTTGGATCGCCGCCCGACGCTGAAGTTCGGCACACCACTCACATGGATCGTGGCCCTGGCCCAATGTGGAGCGCTGCCGACGACCCACCGACGCCCAATGCCGGAACACACCTCACGAGGATCGTGGCCCTCTGGTCCACTTGAGAGTGGGTTTTCATAAGGAAAGGGCAGGCACCACGGCCAGAGGCGAGGGCAGCACCGCACGGAAACATGTTGCCTCCTCCCCCTGCTCCTCTTCCTTCCGCCCTCCTCCCTCATCCCGCTCTTCCCTCCTCCTGCTCTTCATCCTCCTCCTCCCTCCCACCCTCCCTCCCTCCCTTCCGGCCTCCATCCCTCCCTCCTTCCTTCCTTCCTTTCCCCTTTCCTCCTCACCCTTTCTCCTCCTCCCTCTTCTCCTCCTCCTCCTCCTCCTCGTCCTCCTCCTTCTCCTCTTGCTCTTCCTTCTTCTCCTCATCGGATCAGCAGGAGGAAAGGGAGGAGGGAGGGGGAGGAGGAAGAGGAGGAGGAGGAGGAGGGGGGGGAGGAGGAAGAGGAGGAAAAGGAGGATGAGGAGGAGGTGGGGGACGGGCAGGAGGAGGAGGAGGAAGAGGAGGAGGAGGAGGAGGAAGAGGAGGGTGAGGAGCAGGAGGGGGAGGAGGAGGAGGAAAAGGAAAGCGAGCAGGAAAAGAGGAACGCTGTTTCTCGTCTTCCACAATGGGTTTGCGAACCTCACCTTCGTGTACTATTGGCTCTATAGCCCCTGTGTTGTTTTCTTACGAGCGAACGGCGAAATTGTGGGTTTCCGAACCCCTTCTTCGTGTACTATTAGAATCAGTGGGCTTCCGAACCTCATTTTCGTGTACTATTAGCTCTATAGCCCCCTGTATTGTTTTCCTATCAGCGAATGGCGAAATTGTGGGTTTCCGAACTCCTGCTTCGTGTACGATTAAACTCCGACTATTCTATGTTATTCTATTTGGTTTTAACTGATTGTGTGGAACCGAACCCGAACCCGAACCCGAACCCGAACCCGAACCCTTACCCTTACCCATTCATTCTCAGTAGACACGAAGGTGAGGTTTAACCCTAGTAGTAGTAGTAGTAGTAGTAGTAGTAGTAGTAGTAGTAGTAGTAGTAGTAGTAGTAGTAGTAGTAGTAGTAGTAGTAGTAGTAGTAGTAGTAGTAGTAGTAGCAGTAGTAGGTAGTAGTAGTAGTAGTAGTAGTAGTAGTAGTAGTAGTAGTAGTAGTAGTAGTAGTAGTAGTAGTAGTAGTAGTAGTAGTAGTAGTAGTAGTAGTAGTAGTAGTAGTAGTAGTAGTAGTAGTTGTAGTAGTAGTAAGTTAGTAGTAGTAGTAGTAGTAGTAGTAGTAGTAGTAGTAGTAGTAGTAGTAGTAGTAGTCGTCGTAGTCGTCGTCGTTAGTAGTCGTCGTAGTCGTCCGTCGTCGTCGTCGTCGTCGTCGTCGTCGTCGTCGTCGTCGTCGTCGTCGTCGTCGTCGTCGTCGTCGTCGTCGTCGTCGTCGTAGTCGTAGTTTTAGTCGTAGTCGTAGTCGTAGTCGTAGTCGTAGTCGTAGTCGTAGTCGTAGTCGTAGTCGTAGTCGTAGTAGAAGCTGGCGTCGCCGTCGCCCTCGTCATTGCGTGAGAAGTTTGCTTGGCGAAGGACCGCGCCGAATTCAGTTCTGAGCACCGTCGTTGTTTGTATCGCCTTCGGTGGACCTCCTCATGGGTCACGAACCGCGTGAGGAGTGTGGCGGAATGGGGCGGGGCCGTCATGCTGGCGCTGCTATTGGGGCTTATGTAAAGCCTCCTTTTATGGGGCCACGAGACGTATGAGGGATGTGCCGAAATGAGGCGGGGACGCCATGTGGGCGCTGCGACTGGGGCCTTCGGTGGAGCTCTTTATGGGGCCACGAAACGTGCGAGGGGCAGCGGCGATGATGGCGATGCTAATTACGATGCGCAGGACCTTAGGTGGATCACTATTGGGTCACGAAGCGAGCGAGGAGTGTGCCAAAATGGGGCGGCGCCGCCATGCGGAGTGCGCCTCCCTTTGGGGCCACGAAGCGTGTGAGGGGTGTGCCAAAATGTGGCGGCGGCGCCACGCGGGCTGCGCCACTGGGATTTTTGGTGGAGCTCCATATGGTGCCACGAATCTTGTGAGGAGTGTGCCAAAATGGGGCGGCGCAGCCATGCTGAGTGCGCCAGTGGGACCAAAAGTGGAGCTCCCTATGGGGCCACGAATCGTTTGAGGGGTGTTGCAACTTACGGCGGCGCCGCCATGCGGACTGCGCCACTGGGACCTTAGGTGGAGCTCCCTATGGTGCCACGAAACTTGTGAGGACTGTGCCAAAATGGGGCGGCGCAGCCATGCTGAGTGCGCCACTGGGACCTTAGGTGGAGCTCCGTATGGGGCCACGAAGCGTTTGATGGGGTGTTGCAACATACGGCGGCGCCGCCATGCGGACTGCGCCACTGGGACCTTAGGTTGAGCTCCCTATGGTGCCACGAAGCTTGTGAGGTGTGTGTGCCAAAATGGGGCGGCGCAGCCATGCGGAGTGCGCCACGGGACCTTAAGTAGGTGGAGCTATGGGGCCACGAAACGTGTGAGGGGTGTGCCAAAATGAGGCGGCGGCGCCACGCGGACTGCGCCACTGGGATCTTAGGTAGTGCCCCTTCTGGGGCCACAAAGCGTTTGAAGCGTGTTGCAAAATCGGGCGGCGCGGAACCATGCGGACTGCGCCACTGGGACCCTGGGTGGAGCTCCTCCTCCTCCTCCTCCTCCTCCTCCTCCTCCCCCTCCTGCTCCTCCTCCTCCTCCTCCTCCTCCTCCTCCTCCTCCTCCTCCTCCTCCTCCTCCCCCTCCTCCTGCTCCACAACCTTCCTTTTTTTCCAAGCCCTCCACGGTTTCCACCTCCTCCTCCGACTCCTCGTCCTCTTTCGCCCCACTTGTGCACAAGTCTTCGCCGCCCGCCGGCGCAGGGCAGCCTCCAGGTGAGCGCGATTAGGAGCCAGCGGGCTCGCGAAGGGCAGGGAAGGCCCCCAAAATACGGGGCCCAAAAATACTTGTGATTCACAGATGGGGTCCTGAGGGATGGGGTCCTGAGGACGAGGTGCCTCAAACAACGAGGGGTCAAATGTTGATTATACATTGTCTGAGGCACCTCGTCTTTCTGCCCCCATCCCTCAGGTGTCCACCTTTGAACCACTCAAAATATATACCACCACCGCCTCCCTCCCCCCCCTGCACCTCCCAGTAAAGAGGGAGGGGAAGAGGAGGGAGAAGTGGAGGAGGAGTGGAGGAGGTGTGGAGGAGGTGTGGTGGTGGTGGTGGTGGTGGTGGTGGTGGTGGTGGTGGTGGTTGTTGCATATTCTTGGGGCCCGCACAGAGGGCTCTACGAGGCCACCAATAGGGCCCCAAGACGTCACCGAAAGACCCGAGGCCCTCAAGAGGGCCGCAGGACGTCACCGAGCGACCCCAGGCCGTCAAGAGGGCTCAGGACGTGACCGAGCGACCGCAGGCCGTCAAGAGGGCCCCAGGACGGCACCGAAAGACCGCCGCGTGGTCGCCAGGTGTTCCGGGAGGCTCCAGGGAAGCGCCGCATAGGTTTCCGAGGAGCTATCCAGTCGGCCCCCGAAGGACCCAGGTTGCAATGTCTTGGCCGTTGCAATGTTTTCGGCCTCTTGGCCGACATTGCCCCGCAGGACCCAACAATTTCGGCAAGGCTGTCTAAGACTGCTTGCAAGACGGGCCTGGGGCCCCAGGACGCTTCCTCCGCCCCATCTCCCTCTCCTCACCCCAACTCCTCCCTCCAGCAGCAGCAGCAGCAACAGCAGCAGCAGCAGCTGTTTGTGCTCAAGCCGCTTTCGCCCCAGCCTGCCTTACCAGCGGACAGTGGCCATGGCGCTGAAGTCGAAGACGCTCCCAGTGCTCGTCCTGGCCGCGCTGTGTCTCTGCGCCCTGCGCGGGCTCGCGTTCGTGGCGCCCTCTGGCAGCATGGCGGCGCGCGCCGACACGGGTGCCCTCGCCGCGGGCGCCGCCCCGAGGATCGCGAGCAGCTCGGAGGGCGGCCTGGTGGCGATGCAGGCCCGGGGCGGCGCGGAGGGGCTGGAGGTGGAGGACCCGCAGTTGTACATCGTCGTGATGTGCGTGTTCTTCGGTGCCTCCGTCCTGGCCAACTCCAACGGCTTCTTCGGCCCCTGGTGAGCACGCGGCGCGAGGGGCATGCCGGCGGCAGATATTTACTTTTCCCTCTCCTGGCACTTGCTCGGAGGGGTGCGCACCAGCTGTAAAGATCTCGCGCATTCAGGTCTGAATTTATCAAGGGCTGCCAACTCGAAGGGGCTCCGACCTCACGACGGCTTCGGGATCACAATTCCTGCCCAGTCCGAGTCCGGGTGAAACGAGGAGGAAGAGGGGGAGGGAGCAGGAGGAGGAGGAGGAGGAGGAGGAGGAGAAGGACGAGGAGGAGGAGGGAGGAGGGAGGAGGGAGGAGGGAGGAGGGAGGAGGGAGGAGGCAGGAGGGAGGCGAGAGGAGAGGAGGGAGGACCAGATTTAATCAACGATGTTGCTATACTCCTCTCGCCCAGTTCAATGTTTATAGGTCTCTACAAGAACTTATCTTCACTGCGGGAAAGGCGTCGAAGAGCCCTGCTCAAAGACAACCGTCGGATATTCTTCAATCGTGCCAAGCACAATTCCTGGGACTTCAACGCCGCGAATCAACGTGACTGTTGCGTCCTGACAGTCCTAGATCGTGCCAGAACACCGCTCCTGGGACTTCGATACCGCGAGTCAGCGTGACCGTTGCGTCCTGGCAATCCTCAAACGTGCCAGAGCGCCATTCCTGGGCCTGCAACCTTGTACATCCTTGAAACTGTTGCAACTGAAGAGCCACATTTTGAAAGGGAACCGCCCTCCATCCTTAAAAAAAAAACTGTTGTAGCCGTTTCAGAAGACGGTGGTGCGCGGCTCTAAGGCAAGAGCCGTATTTTGGAAACAACCCGTCCTCCATCCTTGAGATTGTTGCAACCATTTAAGACGAATATGCGCGGCGCCAGACCGAGAGCCACAGTTTGAGAAAGACACGCCCTCCATCCTCAAACTGTCGCAAAGTTCAAGCTTGAGGATCAAACGTGATGAGGAAGGCGCAGGCGAAACGCCCGTCTCGCCCTACCGACACGTCGGGGGGTGCGACAGCGACGACCGATTCATACGGAAGCAGGATGGAGGAGGAGGAGGAGGACGACGAAGAGGAAGAGGAAGAGGAGGAGGAGGAGGAACAGGAATAGATGAGGAGAGAGGAAGAGAGAGGAGGAGAGAGGAGGAGAGAGGAGGGAGGAGGAGGAGGAGGAGGAGGAGGAGGAGGCGGAGGATGATCATGAGGAGGAGGCAGGCGGGAGGAGGGAGGAGATTGAAGGGAGGAGGGATGATGGAGGAGGGAGGAGGTTAAAGGGAGGATGAAGCAGTGAGGAGGTGGCGGAGGGCGGAGTGAGGAGAGAGGAGGGAGGAGGAGGGTGGAGGGAGGAGGGAGGATGGTGGAGGGAGGTGGCTTGAGAGCAGAAGATGAATGATAGGTTGACGACGGGGGGGGAGGACGAGGACGAAGAGTATGATGAGGAGTGACGGATAGCAGATGAGATTATGAGGTGAAGAAAGGGGGATGGTGATTATGATGAGGAGGAGGTGGAGGGAGATGAGTTGGAGCAGGGAAAGGAGGACGAGAAGGCAGGAGGAGGAGGAGGTTGGAGCACGAGGCCAGAAGGAGAACACGTGATGATGGACGAGGAGGAGGGATCTAGACGAGAAGGGGAGGAGGAGGGCAAAGATATTCAGCTGCAGGTAGTTCAGACGGGCCACTCGGGAATATCTCCGTAATCATATGGGAGTACGGAAGTGGTTTGGGAGAAGTGGGAGCTTAATGGGAAGGAGGTTCAGGGGAAAGTCCATGCGCGCACGAAGCAGGAACAGTGACACCCCGCCACACACAACACACACGCACATACGCACACACGCACAACTGCACACATGCACACTTAGACACACACACACACACACTCACGCGCGCAAACACGCACACACGCACACACGCATACACGCACACACGCACTCGCACACACACACACATACACGCACACACACACACACACGCACACACGCACACGCGCACACAAGCACACAAGCACACGATGCACATGCGTGCACGCGCACAAGCGCACACGCGCGCACGCGCACACGTGCGCACGCGCACACGCGCACACGCGCACACGTACACGTAGACCGACCCACGCACCCACCCACGCACCCACGCACGCACGCACGCACGCCCACGCACGCCTACGCACGCCCACGCACGCCCTCGCACGGACGCACACGCACGCACACGCACGCACACGCACGCACGCACACGCGCGCACACGCGCGCACGCGCGCACGCGCGCACGCACGCACACGCACACGCACACGCAGGCGCAGACGCGCACCCGCACACGCGCACGCACACGCACACGCACACGCATACGCACACGCACACGCACGCGCACGCGCACGAGCACGCGCACGCGCACGCGCACGCACACTCACGCACACGCGCACGCACACACGCACACTCACACGCAAACGCACACGCACACACAAACACACACACACATGCACACGCACAGGGACACGGGCACGGGCACGGACACAGACACGCGCACGCGCACGCACACGCGCACGCACACGCACACGCGCACGCACGCGCACATGCACACGCACAGGATCAGACACACGCACACGCACACGCACAGGCACAGGCAGACACAGACGCAGACACAGACACGGAAACAGACACAGACACAGACACAGACACAGACGCAGACGCAGGCACAGACACAGACGCAGACGCAGGCACAGACACAGGCACAGGCACATACAAATACGCAGACACAGACACAGTCATAGATATAGACACAGATACAGACCGACACACACAGACACACAGACACTCACACACATAACTACACATCTACACACATCTAGACACACACACACACACACTTGCACGTGCAGCTTGCTGTGTCCGCTTCTCCGCCCCCGATGCTCATCACCATCGTCCTCTTGGCCCTCCTCGTCTTCCTCGTCCTCCCAATCCTCTATCTCCACCCGCTTCCTCCCCTCGCACCTCCCTTCTCCTTCCACCCCAACTCCCTCCTGCAGCAGCAGCTGCTGTTTGTGCTCAGGCCGCTGTCCTCCCAGCTCCCTAATTCAGGTGGCCCGCTCGGGAAGGTCTCCATACTTAAATGGACGAGGTGTTTGTGGAAGTGGGAGACTTATGGGGGAGGATTTTTTTAGGGGGAAGTCCATATGCGCATGGAGCAGGATCGAACACTCCGCTACACATTTGCACGCGCAGCTTGCTGTGTCCGCATCTCCGCCCCCGATGCTCCTTACCATCCTGCTCCGCCGTCATCTCGTCCTCCTCATCCTCCCAGTCCTCCTTCTCCGCTCGCTTCTTCCCCCCCGCACCTCCCGTTTCCTTACACCCCCAACTCCCTCCCCATGCAGTGGCAGCAGTTGTTTGTGCTCAAGCCGCTTTCGCCCCAGCCTGCCTTAGCAGCGGACAGTGGCCATGGCGCTCAAGTCGAAGACGCTCCCGGTGCTCGTCCTGGCCGCGCTGTGCCTCTTCGCCCTGCGCGGGCTCGCGTTCGTGGCGCCCTCTGGCAGCATGGCGGCGCGCGCCGACACGGGTGCCCTCGCCGCGGGCGCCGCCCCGACGATCGCGAGTAGCTCGGAGGGCGGCCTGGTGGCGATGCAGGCCCGGGGCGGCGCGGAGGGGCTGGAGGTGGAGGATCCGCAGCTGTACATCGTCGTGATGTGCGTGTTCTTCGGTGCCTCCGTCCTGGCCAACTCCAACGGCTTCTTCGGCCCCTGGTGAGCACGCGGCGGGAGGGGCATGCCGGCGGCAGATGTTTACTTTTCTCTCTCCTGGCACTTGCTCGGAGGGATGCGCACCAGCTGTAAAGATCTCGCGCATGTAGGTCTGAGTTTATCAAGGGCTGCCAACTCGAAGGGGCTCCAACCTCACGACGGCTTCGGGATCACAATTCCTGCCCAGTCCGAGTCAGGGTGAAACGAGGAGGAAGAGGGGGGGGGAGCAGGAGGAGGAGGAGGATGTAGGAGGAGGAGGAGGAGGGAGGAGGGAGGAGGGAGGAGGGAGGAGGGAGGAGGCAGGAGGGAGGCGAGAGGAGGGAGGAGGCAGGAGGGAGGAGGCAGGAGGGAGGCAATCCTAAATCGTGCCAGAGTGCCATTCTTGGGCCTGCAACCTTGTACATCCTTGAAGCTGTTGCAACTGAAGGGCCACATTTTGAAAGGGAACCGCCCTCCATCCTTGAAGCTGTTGCAGCCTTTTCAGAAGACGGTGGTGCGCGGCTCTTAGGCGAGAGCCGCATGTTGGAAACCACCCGTCCTCCATCCCTGAATTTCATGCAACATTTAAGGCGAATGTGCGCGGCGCCAGCCCGGGAGCCACGTTTTGAACAAGATCCGCCCTCCATCCTCAAGCTGTGGCAAAGTTCAAGCTTCAGGATCCAACATGGTGAGGAGATGAGGAAGGCGCAGGCGAAACGCCAGTCTCGCCCTACCGACACGCCTGGGGATGCGCCAGGGAGGACCTATTCATACGGAAAAAGGATGGAGGAGGAGGACGAAGAGGAGGAGGAGGAGGAGGAGGAGGAGGAAATGGAGGAGACGAGGAGAGAGGAAGAGAGAGGAGAAGAGAGGAGGAAAGAGGAGAGAAGAGGATGAGGAGGAAGAGGCGGATAATGATGATGAGGAGGAGGCAGGAGGGAGGAGGGAGGATATTGAAGGGAGGAGGGAGGAGGCAGGAGGGAAGAGGGAGGAGGAAGCAGTGAGGAGGTGGCGGAGGGCGGAGGGAGGAGAGAGGGAGGAGGAGGGATGAGGGAGGATGGTGGAGGGAGGGAGGTGGTAGGAGAGCAGAAGGTGAATGATAGGTTGACGACAAAGGGGGGGGAGGACGAGGACGAAGAGCATGATGAGGAGTGACGGATAGCAGATGAGATGATGAGGTGAAGAGAGGGGGATGGTGATTATGATGAGGAGCAGTTGGAGGGGGATGATTTGGAGCAGGGAAAGGAGGACGGTCAGGCAGGAGGAGGAGGAGGTTGGAGCACGGTGCCAGAAGAAGACGAAGTGATGATGGACGAGGAGGAGGGATCTAGACGAGAAGGGGAGGAGGAGGGCGACGATATTCAGCGGCTGGTAAATTCAGGCGGGCCTCCCGGGAAGGTCTCCATAATCACATGGAAGTGGTTTGGGAGAAATGGGAGCTCAATGGGAAAGATGTTCAGGGGAACGTCCGTACGCGCACGGAGCAGGAACACGACACCCCGCCACACACACCCAACACGCCTACACGCACATACGCACGCACGCACATATGCACACACGCACACAACACACACACACACACACTCGCACACACGCACACACGCACACACACTCACGCACACACGCACACACGCTCACACGCACACGCACACACGCATACACGCGCACACGCGCACACGCGTACACGCACAACACGCGCACACGCATACGCACACACGCATACACGCACACACGCACAATGAGTACACGCGCGCACGCGCACACGCGCACACGCGCACACGCGCACACGCACAACACGCGCACACGCGCGCACGCGCACACGCGCACACGAGAACACGCGCACACGTACAGGTACGCACCCACCCACCCACCCACCCACGCACGCACGCACGCCAGCACACGTACACGCACACGCACGCACGCACGCATGCTCACACGCGCGCACGAGCGCACGCGCGCACACGCGCACACCCGCACTCACATGCACACGCACATGCACACGCACACGCACTCGCACACGGACACGCGCACGCGCACGCGCACGCACACGAACACATGCGCACGCACACGCACTCACACACGGACACGCGCACGCGCACACGCACACGCACACGCACACACATACACACGGATACTCACACGCACACGCACACGAACACGGACACAGTCACGGACCCGCGCACGCGCACGCGCACGCGCACGCGCACGCGCACGCACACGCGCACGCGCACGCGCACGCGCACGCGCACGCACACGCGCACGCACACGCACAGACATACACAGACACAGACACAGGCACAGACACTGACACTGACACAGACGCAGACACAGACAGAGGCACAGACACAGACACGGACGCAGACACAAACACAGACACAGACACAGACACAGACACTGTCACAGACACAGACACAGCCACACACAGACACACGCAGACACAGACACACACACACACACACCTACACACACCTACACACATCATCACCATCGTCCTCTTTGCCCTCCTCGTCTTCCTCGTCCTCGCAATCCTCTATCTCCACCCGCTTCCTCCCCTCGCACCTCCCTTCTCCTTCCGCCCCAACTCCCTCCTCCTGCAGCAGCAGCTGCTGTTTGTTCTCAGGCCGCTTTCCTCCCAGCTCCCTAATTCATGTGGCCCACTTGGGAAGGTCTCCATACTTACATGGACGGGGTGTTTGTGGAAGTGGGAGACTTCTGGGGGAGGAAGTTTATAGGGGGAAGTCCATTTGCGCACGGAGCAGGATCGAACACTCCACTACACATTTGCACGCGCAGCTTGCTGTGTCGGCTTCTCCGCCCCCGATGCTCCTCACCATCCTGCTCTGCCGTCATCTCGTCGTCCTCATCCTCCCAGTCCTCCTTCTCCGCCCGCTTCTTCCCCCCCGCACCTCCCGTTTCCTTACACCCCCAACTCCCTCCCCATGCAGCGGCAGCAGTTGTTTGTGCTCAAGCCGCTTTCGCCCCAGCCTGCCTTAGCAGCGGACAGTGGCCATGGCGCTCAAGTCGAAGACGCTCCCGGTGCTCGTCCTGGCCGCGCTGTGCCTCTTCGCCCTGCGCGGGCTCGCGTTCGTGGCGCCCTCTGGCAGCATGGCGGCGCGTGCCGACACAGGTGCCCTCGCCGCGGGCGCCGCCCCGACGATCACGAGCAGCTCGGAGGGCGGCCTGGTGGCGATGCAGGCCCGGGGCGGCGCGGAGGGGCTGGAGGTGGAGGACCCGCAGCTGTACATCGTCGTGATGTGCGTGTTCTTCGGTGCCTCCGTCCTGGCCAACTCCAACGGCTTCTTCGGCCCCTGGTGAGCACGCGGCGGGAGGGGCATGCCGGCGGCAGATGTTTACTTTTCTCTCTCCTGGCACTTGCTCGGAGGGGTGCGCACCAGCTGTAAAGATCTGATGGCTCCCGCTCTCGCGCATGTAGGTCTGAGTTTATCAAGGGCTGCCAACTCGAAGGGGCTCCGACCTCACGACGGTTTCGGGATCACAATTCCTGCCCAGTCCGAGTCCGGGTGAAACGAGGAGGAAGAGGGGGGGGAGCAGGAGGAGGAGCAGGAGGAGGAGGAGGAGGACGAGGATGGAGGAGGAGGATGAGGAGGAGGAGGAGGAGGAGGGAGGAGGGAGGCGGGAGGAGGGAGGAGGCAGGAGGGAGGAGGCAGGAGGGAGGCGAGAGGAGAGAGGAGGGAGGACCAGGTTTAATCAACGATGTTGCTATACTCCTCTCGCCACGTTCAATGTTTATAGGTCTCGACAAGAACTTATCTTCACTGCGGGAAAGGGGTCGAAGAGCCCTGTTCAAAGACAACCGTCGGATGTTCTTCAATCGTGCCAAACACAGTTCCTGGGACTTCAACGCCGCGAATCAACGTGACTGTTGCGTCCTGACAGTCCTAGGTCGCGCCAGAACGCCTCTCCTGGGACTTCGATACCGCGAGTCAGCGTGACCGTTGCGTCCTGGCAATCCTACATGCGCCAGAGTGCCATTCTTGGGCCTGCAACCTTGAACATCCTTGAAACTGTTGCAACTGAAGGGCCACATTTTGAAAGGGAACCGCCCTCCATCCTTGAAGCTGTTGCAGCCTTTTCAGAAGACGGTGGTGCGCGGCTCTTAGGCGAGAGCCGCATGTTGGAAACCACCCGTCCTCCATCCATGAAATTCATGCAACATTTAAGACGGATGTGCGCGGCGCCAGACCGAGAGCCACGTTTTGAAAACGACCCGCCCTCCATCCTCAAGCTGTGGCAAAGTTCAAGCTTCAGGATCCAACATGGTGAGGAAGGCGCAGGCGAAACGCCCGTCTCGCCCTACCGACACGTCTGGGGATGCGCCAGGGAGGACCTATTCATACGGAAGGAGGATGGAGGAGGAGGAGGACGAAGAGGAGGAGGATGAGGAGGAGGAAATGGAGGAGACGAGGAGAGAGGAAGAGAGAGGAGAAGAGAGGAGGAAAGAGGAGAGAGGAGGATGAGGAGGAAGAGGCGGATAATGATGATGAGGAGGAGGAGGCAGGAGGGAGGAGGGAGGATATTGAAGGGAGGAGGGAGGAGGCAGGAGGGAAGAGGGAGGAGGAAGCAGTGAGGAGGTGGCGGAGGGCGGAGGGAGGAGAGAGGGAGGAGGAGGGATGAGGGAGGATGGTGGAGGGAGGGAGGTGCAGAAGGTGAATGATAGGTTGACGACAAGGGGGGGAGGACGAGGACGAAGAGCATGATGAGGAGTGACGGATAGCAGATGAGATGATGAGGTGAAGAGAGGGGGATGGTTATTATGATGAGGAGCAGGTGGAGGGGGATGATTTGGAGCAGGGAAAGGAGGACGGCAAGGCAGGAGGAGGAGGAGGTTGGAGCACGGTGCCAGAAGAAGACGAAGTGATGATGGACGAGGAGGAGGGATCTAGACGAGAAGGGGAGGAGGAGGGCGACGGATATTCAGCGGTGGTTATTAGGCGGGCCCTCCCTGGGGAAGGTTCCATAATCACATGGAAGTGGTTTGGGAGAATGGGAGCTTTTCTTTTTTATTTATGTTTTTTGTTTTTTGTTGTTTTTTTTTCTTTTTTTTTTTCTTTTTTTAGCTTTGCTTTCAATGGGAAAGAGGTTCAGGGGAACGTCCATACGCGCACGGAGCAGGAACACGACACCCCGCCACACACACACACACACCCAACACACTTACACGCACATACGCACGCACGCACGTATGCACACACGCACACAAACACACACTCGCACACCCGCACACACGCACACACACTCACGCACGCACGCACACACGCACACACGCACAACCACACACACACACACACACGCATACACGCGCACACGCGCACACGCGCACACGCTACACGCACAACACGCGCACACGCATACGCACACACGCATACACGCACACACGCACAATGAGTACATGCGCGCACGCGCACACGCGCACGCGCACACGCGCACACGCACAACACGCGCGCACGCGCGCACGCGCACACGCGCACACGAGAACACGCGCACACGTACAGGTACGCACCCACCCACCCACCCACCCACGCACGCACGCACGCCAGCACACGTACACGCACACGCACGCACGCACGCATGCTCGCACGCGCGCACGAGCGCACGCGCGCACACGCGCACACCCGCATTCACATGCACACGCACATGCACACGCACACGCACTCGCACACGGACACGCGCACGCGCACGTGCACACGCACACACACACACGCACACACATACACACGGATACTCACACGCACACGCACACGGACACGGACACAGTCACGGACCCGCGCACGCGCACGCGCACGCGCACGCGCACGCGCACGCGCACGCGCACGCGCACGCACACGCACACGCACACGCACACGCACAGACATACACAGACACAGACACAGACACCGACACAGGCACAGACACAGACACTGACACAGACGCAGACACAGACAGAGGCACAGACACAGACACGGACGTAGACACAAACACAGACACAGACACAGACACTGTCACAGACACAGGCACAGCCACACACAGACACACGCAGACACACACACACACACACTTACACACAACACCTACACACATCATCACCATCGTCCTCTTTGCCCTCCTCGTCTTCCTCGTCCTCTTAATCCTCTATCTCCACCCGCTTCCTCCCCTCGCACCTCCCTTCTCCTTCCGCCCCAACTCCCTCCTCCTGCAGCAGCAGCTGCTGTTTGTTCTCAGGCCGCTTTCCTCCCAGCTCCCTAATTCAGGTGGCCCACTTGGGAAGGTCTCCATAATTACATGGACGGGGTGTTTGTGGAAGTGGGAGACTTCTGGGGGAGGAAGTTTGTAGGGGGAAGTCCATTTGCGCACGGAGCAGGATCGAAAACTCCACTACTCATTTGCACGCGCAGCTTGCTGTGTCGGCTTCTCCGCCCCCGATGCTCCTCACCATCCTGCTCCGCCGTCATCTCGTCATCCTCATCCTCCCAGTCCTCCTTCTCGCCCGCTTCTTCCCCCCCGCACTCCCGTTTCTTACACCCCCAACTCCCCCCCAGCAGCGGCGCAGTGAGCAGCTGTTTGTGCTCAAGCCGCTTTCGCCCCAGCCTGCCGTATCAGCGGACAGTCGCCATGGCGCTCAAGTCGAAGACGCTCCCGGTGCTCGTCCTGGCCGCGCTGTGCCTCTTCGCCCTGCGCGGGCTCGCGTTCGTGGCGCCCTCTGGCGGCATGGCGGCACGCGCTGGCCCGGGCGCCCTCGCCGCGGGCGCCGCCCCGACGGTCGCGAGCAGCTCGGAGGGCGGCCTGGTGGCGATGCAGGCCCGGGGCGGCGCGGAGGGGCTGGAGGTGGAGGACCCGCAGCTGTACATCGTCGTGCGTGTTTTCGGTGCTCGAGTGGCCAACTCCAAAACGGCTTCTTCAGGTCCCTGGTTGAGCACGCGGCGGGAGGGGCATGCGGCGCCCGCTGTTTATTCTCCTTCTTGGGCACTTGCAGGGAGGGGTTGCGCACCAGGCGGTAAACGATTGATGGCTCCGCTCTCGATGTAGAGTCTGAGTTATTCAGGGCTGCCAACTCGACAGGGCTCCGACCTCACGACGGTTTCGGGACCACAATTCCTGCCCAGTCAGGTCCGGGTGAAACGAGGAGGAAGAGGGGGGGGAGCGGAGGAGGAGGAGGAGGAGGAGGAGTGAGGACGAGGATGGAGGAGGAGGAGGAGGAGGAGGAGGAGGAGGAGGAGGAGGAGGAGGAGGAGGGAGGAGGGAGGCGGGAGGAGGGAGGAGGCAGGAGGGAGGAGGCAGGAGGGAGGCGAGAGGAGAGAGGAGGGAGGACCAGATTTAATCAACGATGTTGCTATACTCCTCTCGCCAAGTTCAATGTTTATTTAATCGCTTCGCTCATGCCGCCGGCCCTGGAGCCCTCTTTAGGGCCTCTTGGGGGCCTCTTGGGGACCTCTTGGGAGTCTCTTGGGGCTCCTTGCGGCGTTTTGGAGGCCCCCAGGGCCTCTTGGGGGGCTCTTGGGGGTAGTCGATTGCGGCTCCCCCCTCGGAGGCCACGATCCTCGTGAGGGGTGTCGAAAATTGGCCCTCCCCTGGAGTGCTCTGGGGGCTTCTCCCGGGCTTCTCTCGGGACCTTGCCGGGGTACTTTTCGTCCGGGGGCCCCCAGGGGCCGCTCCGCGCGCGCGAACTAGAACTATTGTTAACAAGTTACCGGAGATCTTAGCACGCCTCTGGCCCGTTGGGCCGGCGAATAGGTCTCGACAAGAGCTTATCTTCACTGCGGGAAAGGGGTCGAAGAGCCCTGTTCAAAGACAACCGTCGGATGTTCTTCAATCGTGCCAAACACAGTTCCTGGGACTTCAACGCCGCGAATCAACTTGACTGTTGCGTCCTGACAGTCCTAGGTCCCGCCAGAACGCCTCTCCTGGGACTTCGATACCGCGAGTCAGCGTGACCGTTGCGTCCTGGCAATCCTACATCGTGCCAGAGTGCCATTCTTGGGCCTGCAACCTTGTACATCCTTGAAACTGTTGCAACTGAAGGGCCACATTTTGAAAGGGAACCGCTCTCCATCCTTGAAGCTGTTGCAGCATTTTCAGAAGACGGTGGTGCGCGGCTCTTAGGCGAGAGCCGCATGTTGGAAACCACCCGTCCTCCATCCCTGAAATTCATGCAACACTAAAGGCGGATGTGCGCGGCGCCAGACCGAGAGCCACGTTTTGAAAACGACCCGCCCTCCATCCTCAAACTGTCTCAAAGTTCAAGCTTCAGGATCCAACATGATGAGGAGATGAGGAAGGCGCAGGCGAAACGCCCGTCTCGCCCTACCGACACGTCTGGC